TTATTCCCGTTGATTGAGTTGAGGTGCGGGGCAGACACATCTTCCTGAGGGTGATTGCTCACCACACCTAGTGAGCCTTTCCTTTTTTCAGTGTTCTTATCTGCTCTTGCCGTATAAAGAACCCTTGACGGCTGAACGAAGAGACATTTTTTCCCTCCTTTCCATATTCTTACTTCTTTCAGCATTGACAAGTTTGAGATGACAGTGAGTTTTTCTCTTGCTCTGTATGTCTGTTTTTTTTTCTGTTCACTTATTTATTTATTTATTTATTTATTACCAGCTATTTGGTGGTTGAAATCTATGCAAATTAAATTCCACACTGCTAAATAATAACAGAGCTGAGAAAAAGGAGGTATGCCCCCTTTACACAAAAGATGTTATAAGCGAAGCTGTGTTCATTTGCATGATTGTTTGAATTCTTTAGTTCAGATTCAAACAACGCCATCTATTTTACGCTACACTAATGCTCGGAGAGGGGGCCTGAACAATAGTTGCATGCACCTTGGTATTATTCAGTATTAATATGCATGGTTCCATGTTACAAGTTGCATTATCTGTGTGCATCGATTTGTGGCCGGCACATGAATAAAATAATAAGTATGTAGACTACAGATGGCCAAGACGACAATAACAATCGTTATGGTTAAATGGACGTCAATAATCAATAGATAAGATTGCAAACGTTCAACACTTTTTGTTATTTTACGTATCACCCCAAAAAATTATTGCCTCATTTAAATTGAACTTTTTCAATTGATTAATTTCAATTATATTATTTTCATTCAATATTTTGTGGTCAGTAACACTTTTTATGTTTTTGAATAAAGTCTCTTATTCAACAATTTTTATTATTATCAATGTTGAAAACAGTTGCTTAATACTATATATATATTATTAAGCAGCTGTTTTCAAAACCATTCTTTTGCAGAGTACTGTGTGTGTGCGTGCGTGTGTGTGTGTATATACAGTATACAGTATAACAGCACCTCTGTCCTCATGGTGGCCGTATTATATGTATATAATACTTTTCACTATGAGTCAATAATTCAGTTATTAATTTATTTCCGCCTCCTATCCTGAACTTAAACCCTGTTACAAATAGAAACATCAATAGAGTTTTAGACTGAAAATGTGTGTGGTGTATTTATAAGTAAACTAAGCACCAGATCACTGCAATTCATGTAAACATGGTAATTGTTATTGGACAGAGATTCTGCAATTGCTGTTGAACATGTACCTTCAGAGGGTTCATTCAGCGGTCAGCACTCGAAACGCAACAATAGAGAGAAACACTTCCAACAAACAGAAGCGGAAAAAAAAAACAATCACAGGTATCGTTCAGTCAGAATAATGGCTCTTTTACCCCATCCTCACTGGTGAATGCTGGTCAGTCTAACTGGCTAAATATCTTTATGAGGTGAATTATACGACCACCTCAGTGCCTCAAGTGGGAAATTACAGTAGATAAGTCAAATGGAAATGGTTGAGAAATAAAGGCAGCCAGGGAAGCTCATCAGCTACGGGTTATGATTGCCAGTTTATCTCCAGGGCATATGGACTTCCTTACTAAAGCACAGTCTATGACCTGCCAGTAACCCTGAACACACACATGAACACACTTTTCTGTGAATTCAAAGGTTGATCTGTCCACGTTTTTGCTCATTTGTATGGTTATATAATATGCAAATATTTCACAAAGGTTTGAACAATAATCTCGCTTTTCTAACCATGGTTAGATACTTGTCTGAAAGGGTCTAATTTGTCCCATTCTCCTTCAATTGCAATTGTATTCACACATATCTTCTCAAAGTTATGAGAACCAGTGAATCCTCATCTCAACTGAGAGAGCTGAGATGGTTAAGAGTGAAAATCTACATGGAGATGAAGGGAAAAATCACTTGTCAATCATTGTTGTTGTTGTTTTTAATGTCTCCTCCAAACATACATATTCTCCTGGGTGTTGTTTGTTTGCCAGGTGAATGCAAAGAATAAAAATAGACCATCTTAAAAGCATCATCTTAGTGTACATTTGCATTTTTTCATTCTGGAGCTAGCCAAGCAAGAATAATGATAATCTTTTGTCAACATGCCCTTATTCATGCATAAGTAAATTTAATGATTGTTTTCATCTCGGCATTGTCTAATCTCATAGTCAAGACGATATTTTTTTAGGCCATTTTTACCTTTGTGTCAGTCGTGTCTTGTTTTACACACCAGTAGATGAATGCTAATGCCTAATCAATACTTAATGCTTGGGGTTTTCCCAAGCAGATTTCCCAAACAAATATCATGCACAGTTTGTACAGCCATAGCTTTAGTTTCATGAATTTATAAATGGTCTGTGCTGGGCTGCCCCTCCATCCTCTAATTGAAGGGTTGTTGCTCAAGTGGTCCAGAGCTTTATGTATTATGCATAGAAAATAACTGGGTGCAGGCTACATTATGGTCCCATCATGCTAGCAGGGTTCTGCTGGTATGGGGAGAGATGATATTTCATATAGTTACAGCCTCATTAAGGGGCCACACTTATGTCCAGAACACACACACACACACACACACACATACCCAGGACAGCATGCTGTTTAAGCAACACTGCTGATGTAGCCCTGACCCTAGAGATCACCACACCGAGTATTGTCTTGTCTCATTGTCATTATGTGATATACTGTAAGTGCTGTAAGCCTCAAAACAACATGTGGTACGCTGTTCTGACTGAAGTGAAATAAATATGCCTGGATTTTGTCTCAGGAGAGTTTCCCAACGACCCAGCATTTCTCTGTAGGTAATCAACACACAAATATTGCATTGCTATGGTTGTCAAATTAAAGGCGCATACCTTATTAATCTTTAATACGCCATCAAGTGAGGTTTGCGAATTTTGTGCTTTAAGGTGACCGAATGAATAGTGTGTGTGATGGTTGTTTTCTAATTCACAGCAGCATTATTTGTGTCCCCCTTAACACTGTCTGCATGTCTTCCTTAGAATTGTCCCATTTTAAGAGAGAGAGAAACTATTGAAATGTGTCTGTCTGTGTAAACCCTGAAAGGCAGCTTGTCATTGGTGAACTGAAATGAAAACTGGTGAGAACACATCAATAATTGACTGAGCTTTTATTCAGAAATAACAGGATTATGTAATGAGAAAAAGCTCTCAGGCTCCCCCTCACACTCCCAGCTCTCATTTGCCAAACCACTAAAGATAGAAATCTTTGACTGAATAATGCAAACACGCTCCTCGTTCTCGATCCTTTCTGTACACTACTCTTCACACTATCTGTCTGTCCGTTCGTCCGTCTTTTGTACTATCTGGCTGCCTGGCTAAATTTAAGATTTTAATTTATTAAAAGTTTCTTAGATTTAGATGTATTTAAAGCTACTTTTAGGGCGCACTTCTCTGTTTCTGTTTTCTCTAATTTGTCATTAGCCAGTACATTTATATTTAGATCAGATTAGAATTAGCAGGAAATTTCAGCTCATTTATCCTTGCGCATTAACATAATGTCTGTAAGCTAAAAAAAGAAGGCCTGCAAGTGTTCTACCTACTCTACATGCTCAGACAACATATATATATATATATATATATATATATATATATGTATATATATATATATATATATATATATATATATATATATATATATATATATATATATATATATATGTAATTTCAACCACTGATGCCGATAGAGAGCCCATAATTCTGTAGTGTTCTGTTCTAGTGTTTATTGTATTTTACGGTTACTGTCACCCTTTTGTAATTTCCCGTTTATATAATTAAAAATTGTACATTAGCCATCTAGTACTGTTGTGAGAGCTAGGTTAACAATGTGTGCCAGATTAAATTGTCTATTCACACTGGAAGCTAAAGTGATGTTTAACATGACACAATAGCTGGCAATCAGAACATATTTGATGTTGAATATACAGTTATGGCCAGCATGGTTTGGACCAATGAGATTTCTGGATTGCCAGGGCTACTCAGCATGATGCAGCACGAATTGATGCCAAGCAACTGACAAAACATCCTATCGCTTGGGGTTGCTCCTTAACAAAAGTTGAAATTTACCAGTTTTTCACATGGTTATATCTCAAATGCATGTTAATAGAATAAAAGAAAAGAAAAATAATCTCTGAATGATGTAGAGCACTCTATAAAATTGGAGTGCTGACTGTCTGCTGTAAAATGCTGACTGTAAAGGAAGTGAGGGCTACAAAGAAATGTGAACAGCCCCAGCAAAGCGACCTATTTATTGTTATGAATTGCCCTCTGCTGCCCACCTTACAGGGCCTGGAGAAGTCAGGCAGGAAGGGCTACATTATTTCTCTCTCAGACTCATGCGCAGCTTCCTTAACTCCCCTGTCATCGCTGCGATGATTTAATTAAACCTACCCGCTTCCCTCAGCCTTCTCGCCTCAGACCAGCCTCGCCACTGACTGACAACCCAACACATTACTATGCACAGGCAGCAGGAGGGCGGCTACCAGCAGATATGAATGTATGAATAGATAGGATAAAAGGATGGAGTAATTGATTTTCTATCTGCTCTTCCATTTCATTAACTGAATAAATGTACTCGATTTTGGGCAGTTTTTTTTTTTTTTTGGCTTGTTCAAATCAGTCCCATTGTTCCATTGTTGGTTCTTGTCATTGTTGGTTGACTCTTGTTTATGTAGCATGATAACGTTGCAGAAAAATAAGCTGTTTTGTACCCAGTAGGACTGGGAATGTGAAGATGCGTTCCCATGATCCTCAGCAGTTCTGAAACAGTTCTATTTGTCATTCTCTTGTACGACTTGCCTTTGAAGATCTGACAAGAAGCTTTGTTTTGTTTTGTTTGTCATGTGGGATTTGTCCTGGTGTTAAGCAGTGTCACAGTTTTAATTGAAAATTCATGTTATCTACGGTGGCATGTATTTACATTACGAATTATACACAGAGCTTTACATTTTGACAGTGTACAGACATAAACCGCTCTACTTTTTTTTTCTTCTTCTCCCAGATGTGATCCATACTGTCGGCCCAATCGCCAGAGGAAATCTTGGCCAGTCCCAAAAAGATGACCTTGAATCATGCTACACAACCTCCCTCAAGCTGATGAAGGACAATAACTTGAGATCTGTGGTGAGTTGAGGCTTTGAGACAGATTTTAGAAACAGTCCAATGTGACAGAGTTGACGTTTCTTAAGACAGTGTTTTGAAATTTTGAAGTGAACAATAATGGTTTTCAAGATGACTGTGCAATGATGGTGTTGCTGTTAGAGACACTCCATTGTTTGCACATTTGTTTTTGATGGATGGATGGTTGCAACAACCTATGCTGCTCTTTTTTCAGTAGGGCACAAGGGGGAACAAAATCAGATAAAGAGACAAACAGGCATTATTTTCTGTTGGTCTCCACATGGGCTCTAGTGGATGCCCTGTTGTGACACCCTCAGTGACTACAGTTGCTCTTGTTGTTGTTGCACTAGCATTAATTCTCACATTTTGCATCATGAATTAGATAAAGCCAGATTATGAACCTATTTCACACTTGGGCAATTTTTTACATGCTTTTTGTTTTGTTTTAGTCAAAGTATTTGACTTTTGATGAAAATACTTAAGTTGTAAATTCTTCATAATTTCTTATTCATTCAAATCTGCATGAAATGAAAATTCACCCTATCTATTTTCTAAATGCATTTTATTATCTTATTGTGAACTATTCATCAGTACATGTTAATTTATTTATTTATTTTTTGGAATTTTAAATTAAATTTTTAATCCAAATGTCATAATTTAATCTTCCAGTAAAACGTCAGACTCTCTGGTGACACATGCTGGAATTTTCCAGTCGTTTAGTCCACATAAACCACCTTTTTTTTCCCATCAACATCCATAGAGAACCAAGTCCCTGCCCTACATTTCTTTTTTTTTCTTTTTTCTTTTTGATAGTCCGTTGCACTGTACTGTATGCCACAATACAGAATCTCTGTTGCTAAAATATCTGTTGCTACTTTTAATTTTAGCCAGTTTTACTCTAAAACGGAAAAGGCATCTGATCTTAATCATTGAAAATGACATGTTGATCAATAAAAGAATGAACAAAACGTTAAATAGACGTGAGTTCTTTTTCGCGGATTATAGTGTTTTAACGGTCAAGAACACACAAAATAATGTAAAAATTCTGCTCTTGGTGAGTATCCTCGTAAACACAGTTGGTTATGTCTTACATATAGACTACCGTTCAAAAGTTTGGGGTCGGTACGATTTTAAATACTTTTAAAAGAATTCTCTTCTGCTAACCATGGCTGCGCTTATTTGATTAAAAATGCAACAAAAATCAGTTATAGTATTAAATATTATTCCAGTGTAAATCAGCTATTTTCTGTGTGAATATATAGTAAAGTGTAATTTATTCCTGTGATCAAAGCTGAATTTTCAGCATCACTAGTGTCAGTGTCTTCAGTGTCAAATGATCCTTCACAAATCAGTATAATATGAGGATTTGATGCTCAAGAAACATTTATTATTATTATCAATGTTGAAACAGTTGTTGGTCTGTCAGTTGTACAGTTTTTTTTTTTTTTTTGGATTCTTTGATGAATAGGAAGTTCAAAAGACTTTTGTAACATTATAAATGTCTTTACTGTCACTTTCGATCAAATTAATTATTCCTTGATAAATAAAAGTATTGATTTCTTTCCTCCAAAAAATAAAAATAAAATTCTCACTGACCCCAAACTTTTGAACGGTAGTGTACATAAACAGTTGAGAAAGAAAAAATAATGTAACTGTAAAATGGATCCATGCGCTAGCTCTTAAAGAGACAGCAGCCTAATTTGTGTCTGTCATTAATGTTAATAAAATGACAAAAGATAGCTTTAATTGTTAGGAATTAGGATTAATAGCCAATGTATTTAATTTACTTAATTTAACTTTCACCGGATATTTTCAAAACAGCATTAAAGCAGCACTAAGTAGGAATTCAGTTTTTGTCAAACAGCGACCCCTAGAGTCGCTGTGGAGTACTTGTACTGTCGTGAATAGCACTCACGCAGAGATGGCTCGCACTCACGGCCGGATCCCCTCCCCCTGTACACCGGTACCTGTTCAGTAGGATGGACGCTGTAACGAGTGGAAATAAGGTGTGGCCCCTTTAAGAGCTGCGCGCGCCCTGTTTAACTGTCGGCAGTCTGTATTGTATGTGCGCCTCGAACACCACATGTATACGGCGCCGGGTTATTTCTGTTTGATGCTCATTTTATCAGAATTTTATCAGATCTGTTTTTTGCCGTAAAGCATTTCGTTACCAGTGATGGGAATAACGGCGTTATAAATAACGCCGTTACTAACGGCATTACTTTTTCCAGTAACGTGTAATCTAATTGATTACTCTTCTCATCTTAATAACGCCGTTACCGTTACTGCCAAAAAATGCGGCGCGTTACTTTAACTGATGAAGCTGTTTTTTGTTTTTTTCATCAGACCAACTAGATCTCTGAGCGAGAGGCAAATACTTTTTTTTACTGTTCTTCCTTGGTTAGTGGGCAGAGCACGAGACAAGCGCATAAATGCTGACGATTGGCTGAGGTAGAGTAAAATGTCATTGTAAGCCAATCAGAGGTAGAGTTGGGCGGGTGTTCGAAAGCACGCATAGTAGTGATGGGCATTCGGCTCTTTTGACTCAGCTCACTGAAAGGAGCAGGCTCTTTTGGCTCACAAACGGCTCTTTAAATGACTTTGACTATAATATTTCAATTTTTATTACATAATTATTTAATTTCTATAGGCTAAATTTGTAAAAATAGAGTCGGCTCTTCAGATATGCGAGCCAGCTCCCGACGTTCACCTAAAAGAGCCAGCTCTTAGAGTAACTAACTCTTAGAATCGCGAACGACCCATCAAAAGCTCATTCGCGAACGAGTCGATCCATCATCACTAACGCTCATTCGCGAACGACCCATCATCACTAACAGCTAACGCTCATGAATTCCGAACGACCCATCATAACGCATAGTCGGACAGGACAGGACACACAAGGAACAACACAAGCCAGTCAGTCAACGAGAGACAGGTATGGCGACGAGCTTAACAAGCTTAATTTAATTTTGCCTGTTGAGGGGCAATAAATATCAAAAGTTCCAAAACATCTATTGTGTTATTTGCATTGATCCACTATATAAACATAATATCTACATACATGGCATTTGATTGGAGGCTAGTCTCACTTTGTCCCACAGCAACATTTTTTTTTTTTTTATGTGTGTACAATGTTTCATGTTTCTGTTAATAATGTATTGTATTAAGTGTCCATTTTATTATAATATTCAGATTTATCATAAATAATTGAACATGCACATGTATTGTAAGTTCCGTTAAAGAGGGGTAGAGGTCGGGTCACATTTGAGCATTTAAAATTTAATTTTACTTGAAAGTAACGCAATAGTTACTTTTTTAAGTAACTAGTTACTTTTAAAATTTGTAACTGAGTATCTAATTTAGTTACTTTTTGGCAGAAGTAACTAGTAACTGTAACTAATTACTTTTTAAAAGTAACTTGCCCAACACTGTTCGTTACATCGCGAGACCTGATATCACGCAACACTTCCTGATGCTGCGGCCGGCGGCCCGCCGGCTCAAAGTTGCAAGTGTGATTTTTCCGCTCACATGCGATAGGGGGGTGCGAAACGACCACCATTCAACCCGGAAAGAGTAATATAACCATTCCAATGACTCCGAAGCTGATCGGTTGAGGTAAAAAACCTGCATTGTTCACTTTTAACTGGGCGCACAGCAGACGAGAAGTGCAGCGGACATCTCAAAGGCAGGCTTATCGTACATCTGTCGTGTCATTCTGTACTCGTGTTCTCAAGTTCAAGGCGGCAGACCAAAACAGTAAATCTAATCACAATACAAGCTAAAGTTCACTTCAAGAATGAACAAAGTGGCGTCAATACGTTTGAATTAAGGTATATGAAAAAAACAGCGCAAACAGAAAGAGAAAACTCAATCTATATAACGATATTTATTCAAGCCACGAAAACAAACCTGTTGCAAAAAAAAAAAGAAAAAAGAAGCATAATACACAATCTCCTTGGGTGAAGTCAGTACGAACATATATTTGTCCTAAAACGTTGTATTTCAATGGACAATTATGTGAGTGACGCTGTGGTGCTGCATCATTTTGAACAGCCGGAGTCGTAGTTGGGCACCGCCGGTGTGTGACCCTCTTTACGCATTGTTTTTTTGTCTAATGTTTGAAGCTCCTTTTAGGGGAAGGGCTCTGATAGCGACGCCATGCAAAGTGATGGAACATAATTTATTAATCATTACCCACCAAATTGGCTAGTGTGTTGATATGCATTACCCGCCACAGTGGATTTTTTATTCTTAGAGAATCATAAAGGCTTTGGTTTGCGTGCTAGCTTTTAAAGAACCATGCATACTGTATGTCGTATAGCCATAGAAACAGCTTGAATGGATAAGGCTCATATTTTCCGTATGACAATTATATTCAGATTGTTTCTCCGCTCTGTAAATTACCAGACAACCTCAGGCTTTAATGAAGCTGGCCAAAAACCAGCAGCTTTGGACCAGGAAGATGTAGAGTCTGATCGTTCACTGCTCCAGCTGCTGACCCTATCTCCACCATCTGGTGCGCATGAGTTATGGATCTGTTTTAATCCATGGTGGCCACAACCAGAGGGGCCGTGCACAAGGCAGACCAATCAGCTCCTCCATCCAGACCAGCAGAGGCCCCTGAGAGGATCTCTCACAATTAGCCATGATGAGACAGTCTTTGCGGGACAAATCGCTAACTTCGGCACTTGATGGACCACTTTAATCACACTGTGAGGATGGAGAGGTCTGCTGTCCTCATCGTTACAAGGGTGGAATCGTGCAGTTAAGGTTGCACGAATTAACTTTTGGCTGCGAGAAATGCACATGGCTGCCACGAGTGACTGGGAGTTAAATGCTAATTAGCAATTCTGTTTACACTGTGTTATCTTATGGCGTACACAGACCTTCACTGCTGCAGCCCACATAGAAGGTCATGAATGAGTCTGGGGTTTGGGATATATATCTGTTTACTCCCAAAGCGTATCCCAGAGATTCTTACAGGAATTATAATGTAGAATAAG